TTCGTTACACATACTTTTCCATTACCTACCATGAATTAATACTATGCATACAGAAAAAACGGAGTTACTCTTATTGCGTATTTTAAGGTAAATTTCTTGTATACTCCCAAGAAAATGATAATTTACCCAGCACATTAAGGCCTTTAATCCAAGTATCTAAGTTTGTAAACCATACATATAATGTGACGATAAAATATCAACAACATAGCATGTAGTTTTATGTAATCCTCACGACATTTCATTTGGTCCATTGACTTTAAATCCAATAATTGTCAAAATTATTGGAGCTTGGAAAAAACTGCATGTAAAAAAATCGTTACACTAATAAAAGACGACGTGAGGAGCGCGAGCAATGAGCTACAGCGGCTAGGGCATAGCCACATGAATACAGAACGGAATGAAGGAACTAGAACGGAGAACTGGCAACAGCGCACGCGAGAAGTGGGGGGGGCGAACACACCGCTCAAGCGCTACAACGCATTAGTGGCATCCTGTCCACACACTGTTGATATATACCGATTTGTGGCAAGGTGCCACAATTAAAAACTGGAATGTCAGATGTTAAAATGGAGTGTTCATTAAAAATATCGATGCACACATGTTTCTACCACCTTCCTTCATCCACTGGTGGCCGCAGTTTGAAAGATGCCACAATTAGGTGTTTGCGAGTATGCGGTAAAACCCCGTATGTGTGTCCCATTAGCACGATATTTCCAAGCAAAAATGATTCTATTTTGATTAAATTTGATATAAACCTAAAGATATTCAAAAGATTTCGCGAACTAGCATGATCGGACTGTGATTGCACCAGGTTTTTTTTTTTTGCATCAAATTTTTACATTACATGGGAAGTCTATACCTTAGAATTCTTAAGTAGGCTACTTTAAAGACTAACATACTCTAAGTTGCAAACGCCTTTTAATGAAATTGTTTTCTTGATAAACCTTATGTAAGACAATCCCCCGCCAGAGCAAACCTGCAGACTAAGCGAATTTCCATTTGACTGAATTGATTTTAAATTATATCTATTTAAATAACATTCGTTTTAACGAGTACCTAGGTTTTCTGCTACAGGGAGGCTAATAAAAGTGTGTAATTTTCTTAAGTAAAATATTAGTAGCTTAGTATAAAATAAATAAATTTGCCAAGGGGTTGAACAAAATATTTCCATAAAAAAGCAAACTACAACATTTTACAATACTAGATAACCTGTTGCTCGAAATCGAGCAAAACTGCAACTTGTAATAAAATAATGAAGAACAAAAAACATAAACAGCAAAACATCAATCATAGAGTCACCCTAAAGTAATTCCTATGACTGATTATAGAAATGTGAGAAATATTATGTTGGAAAAATATAAAATAAAAGTAATATACGGTACAAGGTACAATATTTAAATATAGATCCGTTCCCATACTGCTTTGGTTCTCTTATGTACTGTAGGCAGGTGCCCTCTATGAGAACGTAGATATCAACCACACACAGTAAAGTGAGCTTTTCAGACCTAATCTAGCAAGCATTGTTAAATTAATTTTACGATATGTTCTGTTTTAGGCGTGTTTAAATTAGGTTTAAATCTCCGGTTGGGAACATAAGAGTGGATTTAACGACGTATCTAGAACGGATTCAGGTTAAACACCATTAGTTTTTGAAAATAAAAAAAAACAAAGATTTATTTAGTCAGGTGTTGTTCTGTTTTCAGCTTTAAAATAGCTGCGACATCTATACAGGTAGCATCATTGTAGCGATGGAAGTCACTTCTTTTGTCTCTTACTTTGCACATATAAGAATCTAACTTGACTCCTCGGAGCTCTCGTCCCTACAAATTTATGCCACAGTTTTAAAAGATTGGGCAAATGGGTTGGCATTGTGACACTATATCCCTCATATTTTGTCATTGAATTTTTTGTTTGGATTGTTTTACATGCGCTGGTGCGTATTCAGGATCATGAAATTGTTGGATCTTGAAATTGTAGATCCCCTGTGTGACCCTCTCGTCAAATTTCCATAAGTTCCTGAGGTGAATTCCGCAAAAAAGGTAAACAAACCTTTAATTTATGGCAACAAAGAGTAAAAACTGAACTGTCTCGGCTTGTCTTTTCTTGCTTAAAACGTAAGCCACCACAATGTAAAAATTTACCGTTCATTTGTCCGAGATTGGATGTATCACCACGGCGGTACAACCACTCTGTATCCGTCAAATTGAGAGGTTGATGCAAGCGGTCATGTTTGCATTCCCTCCAGTCACTCACAGTTCTTTGTCTTACTGGTGTCATTTAATTTGAAATTTAAATAAAATACTAAAGTTAACCAATCAACAGAAAACATGGTAATGTAATGGGTAATTGCACTGTGAATAATCACTTTCAAACATTCACTTCAAAACACCGAACTGTAACCAAAACTACATGATAATTCAGTAGAATACGATGTAAGATAAATAAATTCAACTATTACAAACAATTTGTTGTCAGGTCTTGCTAGGAAACTCTTGATTTATGAACCAGACTTAGTCAACAGATGTTTAAATAAAAATTTAAAATTCCGGCTTTGCTCTTGAAGTAATAAGTCCTGCAGTCTGTGGTTAAACTTAAAAACTATTTCAAACTACGTCCATATGTTTATTAATAAACAAAGGGAATTGTGTTTGACAGTTTGATCTACTGGCAACAGATAGCGCCGCCGTTCCCAAACTTTAGCCCTTAACTGTACTTAAGTGATGCCCTTTCTTAATATTCTGAGACGACAACCAATTTTAATATGTAACCTTTCATATACCTTTTAATAACGCAACCTTTCAAATATGTAAACAAAAACTCGCTTCACGTAGGTAATATTTTTAAGAAGTTTTCTTACATGCCGGGATATAAAATAAACAGGAATATTGGTATGAAACAAAAAGAAAAACATAGCATAGACAAGGGGGTTTAAATCTTAAATGCAATGATGGAGATGATTGTGATAAAGAATATATTGGACAAACTAATAGGTCTTTCAAACAAAGTTTTAAGGAGCATAACGCCCGAAACCAAAAAAAATCCCACGTCCAAAGTTGCCCAACATCTGAAAGAACATCCTTCCCACAATATAAGTTTTGATAAATCGCTAAATGTGCTAAAAGCCTGTTATAACGCTCAAAGGTCGAAAATATGGGAGGAGTATTTTATTTTCAAAAATGTCACTTCAATGGGTAGACATAGCTTATTAAATGTTAAAGAAGACTTTTCTGATAAAGTTACCTATCGTATGTACAGTAGACTAGAGGGGGAAGAGGTTACCACGGGTAACACAACAGCTGATTAAGACAAGATAGGCCTAAGGGAGGAATGACCAGTAGGCCTACAACCTTGTGCGGTATCGCGTGTCTTCTCCCGCTCGCTTGATGTACAGTAGCCTACAAGTGTGACCATGGTCGTAAAACTGTATATACATATGTGTTTCGTGAACTGTACGGTTATGTTAATATGTTTTATAAATTGTGACAACCACTTCTGTGGGCAATGTTGAGACCTGTGACAGCAACTGAAGATGCATTGTAATTAATGCGAAACGCGTCTCGCAGGAGATAAGAATTTTGGACACCTTAGGCTAACAAAAAGGTAAAATATTGATAAAATTTTCTCATTACTGTCTACGGTTATTGACACAGTGGAAAGTTCCCTACAACTTAGCTCTCTTTAGAAAACTCGCCACAATCAAGGGGCTTGCAGCTGAGACGGGGTTTTGCCCATATGCCCGCACCACCACATTTCATTCCTGATCTACAGAACGATGTTGTGCATGTGAATTCGTTGATTGTAGAGTTTTCAGCTTATTCTGCTTTTAAGAAAGTGCTCGGTCAACTTAAACATATTATATCTGGACACTCATCGTTTACAAATGTCTCCAACTCATTTATTTTACTCAACAACCCTCTTAGGCCTATATTTTAGTGCAGGAACTTAAGGCTTGTGTACCTACGAGGACCCCACCCTCTTTTGAGATAGGTTCTCCGGGACTTCGGGTGGTGTTTGTGCTTCCCCTAAAAAAATGCTCATTGACCAAAACACTCTTGGTAGAGGATCTATGTGCTTGAAAAGAACTGACTCTATAATTAAATTAGTAGGGAATTGTATTGGGAATGGATTTTTCTGTGTATTTAAGGAGGGGGTAGCAAGAGGGGGGTAGGTGATTGGGGGTTGTATTCCAGGTGGAATTGTTAGGGAAGTAAATATTAGTTCGGCTAGGGCTACTTTTCCTTTCATGTTGAGATGTTTAACCCATGTTTGGTGAACTGGTGGCGGGATAGAGATGCAATGATACAAAGGAGACATGTTGGTAGTAATTTGACAGGGATACAAGTTCATTAGCCTATTTAAGTTACTCCGTCCCCAACAGGGTTCATAGAAGGAAAGTCTTATCTAGGTGGTACGCCAACAAGAATAATCTTAGAATTTAACACAATTTTTAAGAAAGAATCTAGGCCTAGCACCGGCAAAAAACTGTTACAGCAGCGAACGTGATAAGTTACTGTAAGTTAGCTATGGATTTTGGATAGGCTACCAACAACACATAGCCCTTCCCTATTCTATAATGGTTTGTTAATTTTTGTAACAATTATTTCACTGTGTTTTTACATGTGTGACTAAACTGGCGGCTGCACTTTACTTGACGTCCTACACTCATTCGATTGTTTTTCGATTCAATATTTTCATTCGATATATCGTTTGGTTAGTTAGGTTAGGTTAACCTTACCTAACTAACCAAACGATATATCGAATGAAGCAATCGATTAATCGATATATCGATCGATATTTTCATTCGAATGAGTGTAGGACGTCAAGAAAAGTGCAGCCAAAGTAAGGCCAGGCGAAGTTGAGCTAGGTCCTACCTAGCTGTCAAAAGACGGGAGTGGGCTAGATAGGCCTAGGCCAGACCAAGATCATTTATTTGAATAGGCCCCAATCATAAATTAAAATCTACAAAATTAAACATTGATTTGATGAGAAAAGTAAAATACCTTGGAATGCAGTTTGGAGGTGTCCTATCTACTTCCCATGTTGCAAATAACTTCATGGGCACAGGTCTCAACCCCGCAACGGGAGGAGGCTTTGAAGCCTTTTCCGCCATGTTTACGTACGTATCCAGGAAGGGCCTATCCTATCTTCTCGTCGAGGTTCCTCGTCCGTCGCTCCTCGCTCGCGGTCGCGGTACGCGGTGGGTCTGCTCTGCTCCTGCTGTCTGCTCTATCAATCTGACAGTCTGGTCTGGTCTTTACTTTGGTCTGACAATGACAATGACTGATACCATGGTGGAGACTGATAGCCTACTACTGACTTGACTTGACTTTGACTGACATGAACACAGAACAGAACTGAAAACTGAACTGTCGGTACTGAGACTGACTGACTAGTGACCAGGCACACGGGAGGGACTATGGCTAACATGTCTTGTAGTGTCAGCGTTCGCCGCTAGAACCGCTAAGTTGAACAAATTTAAATTAATTTTTTTTAATTTTTAGTTATAAAATAAACTTGTTGATTATAAAATAATTTGTTTAGCTATAAAATACATTTTAAAATGTTTAATTAAAAATTAAACTGTCATAACCTAACCTAACCAACCAAACTAGCTGATAATATAACAAATATATAAGATACAAATCAAATGAATGTTAACTTATAATTTTTAATTATAAAATTAATTTTGAAATTTAGTATTATAAAATTAAACTGTCATAACCTAACCTAACCAATCAAACTTGCTGATAATATAAAAAAGATATGAGATAAAATTGAATAAAGGTTTACTATTTAAGAAAAGGTGATGTTCATAAATAAAATTTAAATGCATCAAATTCTAACAAAAGATGTACAGTTAAGAAGTATTCGCATTCTAAGCAAAATATTTGACAAAAAGTTAGTGTCACCGGCTTGTTTCGAACCGGAGATGACCTCCTGGGGCCCATTTCATAATAAACTACAAGTTACAACTTGTAACTTGTAATGTCCATAAGATTTGCATTGGGTGATCAGCTGATTTACTAATAATATTAGTTTGTACTTTATTATGAAATGGGCCCCAGGGGCCCATAATAAAGTACAAACTAATATTATTAGTAAATCAGCTGATCACCCAATGCAAATCTAATGGAAATTACATGTTACAAGTTGTAACTTGTAGTTTATTATGAAATGGGCCCCTGAACACCAGTCCAAAACGCTATCAACTATGCCACGAACGCCGCTGGATAAACATCGTCTCCAGTATGATAATATTTTTGTTGGGCATCACTCACCTTATTGAAGTCATGAGAACGTAGTCCTTGTCATGTCACAATCATACACAGTTCATTGCACATAAAAATATACAAAAATAAAAATAAATCCAAATTTAAAATACTTTTCTAGGACCAAATAGTTTTTTTGGTAGGTCGCAATCGATTGCGTGAGAAGAGGAATAACCTTGAAAACGCCGCACGTTGATTTTGGTGCGGCGAAACGTCGGTGTTGAGAACTTTTGTCTGATATTTTAAATTTGGATTTATCTTTATTTTTATTTTTGTATATTTTTATGTGCAATGAACTGTGTATGATTGTGACATGACAAGGACTACGTTCTCGTGACTTCAATAAGGTGAGTGGTGCCCAACAAAAAAATATTATCATACTGAAGTATTGACCTCACCTAATATACCATGTCGTTTAGGAATAAAACATCGTCTCGTTACGGTAATCGTGTTGCCTCAAGAGAAGACATTATCCACTAGAGATATGACGTCACCACACCTTTAGCCATAGTCCCTCCCTTATACCCATCTAGACTAGCGGCTAGAGATGTGCAAAAACAACAGCAGTTGTCAGAAACAGTTACTCGACGTTCTGTACCCACGAGCATCTCAGCTTCCACAAGCACAGAGAAGGCCTTCGAACAGTTCCTGGGATAACAGCTATTTGTGTAATAGCTTCACTGTATATCTTTATTGGACCTGTTTAGATAGTTGTTTCTTTCAACGGTTACAGTTGCGAACTGTGCATTGTGATTTTGTAAAGGTGTTTATTCTTTACTGTTTCTGTTTTTTTACTTTTGACTTGAGCTGCTTGAAAAGGTGTTTGATGATTATGAAAATTATTAAAGTGTTGTGAGTGTGCTGAAGTTGATTATTTGTTATTAGGTATTGACAATTAAATATTTAGCGTGCATGAATTATTAAGTTATGAAGTTTTAAATGTTCACTTAACCTATATTTTTCTGATTCCTCAAGAAGGAGTGATTGTTGGGGGGTTAGGTTAACTTAAGTGTTTGTGTGTGAATTTGTTAGATTTGTGTGTGAATTTGTTAGATTGCAGTTTTGGTAGTGGTACGTCTAAGTTAGCCTCTAAGGTAAACTTAGGCCTACTCTTATAAATAGATAAGTTATTAATTTAACTTTTTCAAAGGCAATCACTTAGACCTAAACTCCACTGAAAGGCCCAACAAAATAAATAAAAAAACCTAAAAAAATAAATCAATAAATCAAAATAAACCTAGACCTACCACTACCAAAACTTCAATCCAACTAATTCACACACAAACACAAATCTCAACCTAACCTATTAACAATCACTCTTTCTTAAAGAATCCGAAAAATATAGGTTAGGTAAACGTTTAAAACTTCATAAATAATTCATGTAGGCTATATTTATACAAAATATTTAATTTTCAATACCTAATAACAAATAATCAGCTTCAGCACACTCACAACACTTAAATTTTCATAATCCTAAAACACCTTTTCAAGCAGCTCAAGTCAAAAGTAAACAAACAGTAAAGAATAACACCTTAAAATCACAATACACAGTTCGCAACTGCAAATGTTGAAACAACTATCTAAACAGGTCCAATAAAGATATACAGTAAAGCTATTACACAAATAGCTATTATCCCAGGAACTGTTCCAAGGCCTACTGTGCATGTGGAAGCTCAGGTGCTCGTGGGTACAGAACGTCGAGTATTTTGTAAAGGTCTTTATTCTTTACTGTTTGTTTACTTTTGACTTGAGCTGCTTGAAAAGGTGTTTTATGATAATGAAAATGAAAATTAAAGTTTTGTGAGTGTGCTGAAGCTGATTTGTTAGGTATTGACAATTAGCCTAAATGTTTTGCGTGCATGAATTATTTATGAAGTTTTAAAAGTTTAAAGTATTTATGAAGTTTACTTAACCTATATTTTTTGGATTCCTCAAGAGAGAGTGATTGTTAGGTTAGGTTAGGTGTTTGTTTGTGTGTGAATTTGTTAGATTGCAGTTTTGGTAGTGGTAGGTCTAAGTGTTAGCCTCTAAGGTAAACTTAGGCATACTCTTATAAATAGATAAGTTATTAATTTAACTTTTTCAAAGGCAATAACTTAGACCTAAACTCCACTGAAAGGCCCAACTAACTTAACCTATCTTTTTCGGATTCCTCAAGAAAGGAAAGAGTGATTGTAATGTTAGGTTGGGTTGCGTTTGTGTTTGAATTTGTTAGATTGGAGTTTGGTAGTGGTAGGTCTAGGTTTATTTTGATTAAGTGAACATTTAAAACTTCATAAATAATTCATGCACGCAAAATATTTATTTGTTAATATCCAATAACAAATAATCAGCTTCAGCTCACTCACAACACTTTAATTTTCATAATCATAAAACACCTTTTCAAGCAGCTCAAGTCAAAAATAAACAAACAGTAAAGAATAAACACCTTAAAACCACAATGCACAGTTCGCAACTGCAACTGTTGAAACAACTATCTAAACAGGTCCAATAAAGATACGGTGGGGCACACGGAAGATTTCTCAGGTGCCGTTTAACGTCACTAACTGCTGACGTCACTAACTGCTGCGTCTGAACAGACGCGTCAGAAACAGACAATTTTATAATTTTTCTATTATTAAATTAAACTGTCATAACATAACCAAACTAACCAAACGTGCTGATAATGGAAAAATCAAATGAAGGTTTACTCATCTAAAAAATAGTTTTGTTCATAAAATAAAATTATAAATGCCTAAAATTCAACTTAATATTTTTTAAATTATAAAAACTGTCATAACCTAACCAAACCAACCAAACTTGCTGATATGAAAAAAATTGTTGACAAAAAGTTAGTGCTACCAGAGGGATTCGAACCCAGTAGATTCGGATTATCAGCCCGCCACGCTACCCACTACACCACCGAGGCCGATGTCTCAACACCGTATCGTTGCGGTATTGGTGTTCCCTCAAAGTGACGTCAGCAGTTAGTGACGTCAAACGGTACCTGAGAAATCTTCCGTGTGCCGTTTCGAATAACGATATACAGTGAAGCTATTACATAAATAGTTGTTATCCCAGGAACTGTTCCAAGGCCTTCTGTGCTTGTGGAAGCTGAGGTGCTCGTGGGTACAGAACGTCGAGTGAAACACTCTGGTCAGAAAGTTTTTTTTTCTGAAACTGCCTGTTGTATGTAAACAGTTTAAGTGGAAACCGTTTCAAAGACGCTATATATGTATCGCGACAGCGGTCGGGCGCTAGCAGCGGATCCAACCATAGACTAAGCTTTTTGTTTCCTTAATCTATGATCCAACCACGAATACTAGAAAAGACCGATCCAACTAAACAGTTAAACAGACGCGCTGGGAAATAAATCGACTACAAGTACGGTCCAAGAGAGTTTGCAGTTGAGGGAGGCGCCTATTTACCACGTGACTTCGGAAAGCCATATTATGAGAGTGCGGTGTTGCCAAATATAATACATTGGAACCTCAATAAGAAGACCCTCAATAACAAGTCACCCACACCCTTAATAACAAGTGTTACAAATCCCCTTGAATTTATTTTACCCCAAATCATATGGTATTGCAAACGTCAATAAGGAGTTAATCTTGATAAAAAGTCTCATTTAATAATCCCCATGTTGCATGTAATGTTGCAACGTCGCGCTAGTCCAGTCTTGGTATTGGCTGTCGCCAGGCACCAACTGCAGACTCTCATGCACAACTCGTCCCGAGTGTAAACTAAACATCATCGCTGGCCTGCTGTTTCTGGGCGAAGTATAGCCCTACTCTCACAACCCCCCCCCCCCCCCACATAGCTATGTCCAGACATGTCAATATACGCACTGCTGTTTTCCTGTTTTCAACAATTCTCAGTTGTTAGTTGTTTAGTTCATGTAATCATATTTTCATTACTCCTTAACGAAAGTAACTATTTTCGATAACAGCTGATATCAATGAAAGTAGTCGTTTCCCAAGCTCTAATTTAGGGCGAGGGAAAATCGATCAGCTGATTTTCCCTCGCTCTAAATTTA